AATGACAAAAAGTAACACTACCAGAGAGAGCCTACATAGAACAATACCTGAACAGCGATAAAACAAAAAGTGGCCGTTGCAGCACTATAGACATAGGGCGTGTACCCCGAGAAAATTTTAATTTTTAAAATTTGGAAAAAGAAAAAGAACAGAAAATTTATAGACATTTTAATTTGAATTGAAGTTTAAAAAAGTGCCAATTTTAGAAATCAAATTGACGTGTGTAGGTTAACAAAGATTTTATACATACATACAATTGGAAAGACTGGTGATTTTAAATTTTAAACTATGGGCAGTGTAGCAGCTACGTAAGAATACACACCTGATGATGGCCATTTAGGGCCGAAACATGTAGTGTGGAGGAAGGGAAGAAGAAAGAACTACAATTAAATTGTTGCACTTAAGACGGAGTTTGTCTCATATATAATGTCCAAACGTGCTTGGGTACATGTGTTTACCTGACTCAACAGCCCAGCGATACACTGCGGCCATTCCAAGAATTAAATTATCAGACCTTGTATTTCAAATGACAGATCTGTGTCTAAACCATGCAAATATCACTGCCAATGCATGAAAATTCACAGAGAATTAAAATCAAATGCAAGTTACTGTCCTAGTATATCTTGTTTATTGCCTAAGTAAGATGTGTGTTACAGAGACCCCGAAGTGTTTCGGACTTAAAAAGAATTTATACAGATAGTACTCGTACATTGTGAAATGAATCATATCAAAATCACAAAGAATTAACTAACTCTGGAAAGCTGAGTCCTTGAACAGCTGATAGTTGCTCAAATTGTCTAGGGATTCTTGCCATTTTATGGAAACCTAAACTGGAAAATCACCATTAAATAACACATAAAAAAAGAAAAATGAAACCCTAAGGTTCACTGCCATGTTAGAAGAGCCTGTTATTCACTTCTGTCTTGACCTTGCTGTATCCAGGTTAAACCCTTACATTTTTAAGCAAGGCTTTAATATCAAGAATACTAAGAGTTCTATCTTCTGCGATATAATGCCGTGTAGTCTACTGAAAACTGAATGATGATTTTGGAGGAACATATCGCCTCCATCTTCAGGGTGGAAGAATAAGCCAAGGAAGAAACCAGCATGAAACAGGTAGCAAGCAGGGCCATGTTATAACCCAGAAGACAGAACTCTTCATAACCACTGCTGTTGGAACTTCAAATCCGTTAAGAATACCACGTTCTGGGATGTGATGTTGTGTAATCTGATATAAATTCAGAGGAATGTACTGTCTCCATCTCAAAGGTCAAAGAATATGCCAAGCAAGCAGCATGTTGCTCCAAAACGATGTTGTACTTCTACCAGACTACATGGCAACTCATCTCAGAAAAGAGGGAACTTACTTTTCATAGTCACCGCCATGCATACCTCATATTTCACATTTTAATAATATTCCATCTAAGCCTAGATCTCCCAAATGATTCCCATTCCTCAGCATTTCTGATTAAGATTGCATTTCATTCAGAGATTACATGTACTCTGAACTGGATTGTACTTTTCGATGTTTGCATTACGTATGTGCCAATATATGCATTTACAGAACTGCGTTAACATGTTTATATTTATCAGACTGATATTATTATATAATATTAACTGAAACATATTTAAGAAGATTGAACTTTGCACATATAAATGGTAAAAGTCGTTACCAACCGTCACCATTTCCACGATCTTAAACAATATCCTTATACAATGATTTCAGAAGAAAATTATATAGCCAGAAAGGTCTGAAAGTAACAGTCCTTACCTGTATCTCTGATAATCTTCTTCATCCTTGTCTACATCTGAGAGCTGATTGGGGCAAGCAGCATTTCCTAAGAGACTCAGGTAATGAAGTGATGGTAAATTTTGGGCTATCTTGGTCAACAACAAATCCAAATTTTTGATCTGGTGAAACAATACCAAAACTTCCACATTACTGACATGATACAGTTGTGCGAGTTACAACAAATCTACTGAAGAGTTCTATCTTCTGGGATGTAAAGCAGTTTACTCTGTTAGAAGTCACCCGATGTTTCGGAGGAACACATCACTTTCATCTCCAGGTTTAAAGTACAAGCCAAGCAAGAAACCAGTGCGAAGCAGATAGCAAGGAGTCAAATGACAAGATGTGTATTTCTACAGATTATTTTATGTCTATCAACACAACACTGTTTCCAGCAGGTGAAGTTCACTGTCTAGAATGACATGTTTTGGAATGTGTGTGCCCAGTTTTTTGTTACAATTATTCTATTATGTATTTGGTGTAAAGTTTCCATGTAAACTGAGTGAATCCACCAATGTGTTTCATACTATACACATTGCATATGGCAATGGGTTTCTCATCTGTTGGTGGCCAGCAAGTATCTATCTTCAATGGGTACAACTGCAGTCTGCTTGCTACCTCCTTCATGCTGGTTTCTTGCTTGCCTCATTCTTCTACTGTGAAGATGTAGATGACATATTCCTCCAAAATGTCAACTGACTTTCAACAAACTACATGGTGTTATATCCCAGAAGACAAAACCCTTCATAATGACCACTGTGTGAACCTGAAGTCCAACAGATTTACTGCTTATTCTCAGTTTCAGTTTCCCACAGTACCAGGAGAGGATACCAGAAATAACAGTTAAATATCTGTTAATCTTTATCCTTTCCCTGGAGCACTGGACATTGCATTTCACAGCTGGTTCACAATCAACTTCATCAAATGATTTGTGATGGATTCTTTTGATCAATGCAAATGAACTAAACAACTTTAACTTCTTGCAGAAGATTCTTCTATCTTTCAAGTTTGAATACCATCCTCCTGATGTCTCTTACATTCAGAAAACAACCTTACAGCCTCGGTATGAGATCATACAAAGGCCAGGAAACAGTATGTCAAGCCATATAAAGTGCAAGGATTGTGAAATTTTCTTTTCAGGTTCCATGGGGACCAGTGAATTTGAACACCAAACTTAATAAAATATTAAGTCAAGGAAATCAGACACCGAGGCTACAAACTTGCGATCACTGAACCTGAACAATAGGCAAAAATCCTGAAACGAGACAGTTCTGAAAGCATCTGTGCCTACATTTCAAGGTGAGTATAGATGGATCATGAATATGAATTTACAGCTTTGTATTTTTGCATGGTGGCTATGAACAAAATGTAAATGACACCACAATTTTTGCACACAACAGTTTAGTATACAATTATGTTCTGATGTGGCAACTCAGAAAGGAAGTGTCACCGGAAAAAGATGAAACAATACAAACCAGTTCTGAAACATATTCTGGGACAAATGTATTCATATGCACTGCATCCAAACATTAAAGAGGATGACCACATTACCATCTTACATACTAACCACGAGGGGTTCTGCATACGTTTTTGCTTGTGAAACAGGAAGAATAGATTTTATTTTTATTTATTTCTTGAGAGTGGAATGATTCATACTTAGTTTTTGATTTACAAAGTAAATATACGCTGTGCAATTACTGAAGTAAATGAACATCATCATATTATTAACTGATGAAAAATTAAACACACAATTCCTCTGAACCCACTTGGGGTGGAGGGATTGCAATTGTGTATCTGACAGTATCTTAGGAATTTACATCAGATGGTACAGGAACATGTGTAATGAAAACCAACACAGTACCAAGACTGATTAAAGTGGTAAACTGCTGGATAGTTTGAAAAAAAATTAAAATTTAAGCTTACATCCATAATTTTCAAAGACAGGCTTACATATTATCAAGCCTCTCTATGTGTCTATATTTCATTAATAAGTTTAGTACTGACAGATTTTTATGAAATTTAGTAGACCACCGGCCAATCTTTGTACTTTATAATTACTTTACTGCCAACAATATTAATAAAATTGAGGCTGTGTAAATATGCAATGTGAAAGCAAACCAAGCACTATTAATAATTTAAGATCTTGAAATGTTACATGGTAATAAATGTTAAAAAACAACACATACACACACAGAAGTTTGATGTAGAGACTGACAAAAACGAACTCACAGCACATAACATTCACAAGGCTCACATTGTTCTTGTTGAGAGACAGGATCTGTAAGTTGGGTAGCCAGGGCACTAATATAGAATCACAAAGTTTGTTATTGTCCAGAACCAGTTCCTCCAGGTTTGAGAAGTTCTCCACACCCTGCAATGTAGTCAGACAGTTAAAGCTCAGGTCCAGGAACAGAGCTTTTGTGCCATACATTTGTCCCAGCACTGGAGGAATCTTCCAGCAGTCTTGCCCCACATAGCTTAGCTGAGAACAATAAAGCACGGCGCTTAATATAACAAATACAAAAGAAGTTACTCATAAGTGTGCACCATAAATTCATCACAGAGACTTTCTTCAATAGTCAGTAACTGGTCAGAGGATTTAGAGACCACGCTGGTTTTCTGGAACCCTATAATCCACTATCATCTTCACAGATGCCTGCCTTGGACCCCACCTTAAACCTCAGTCCACTTTACAGCTTCACACCTAGTTTCTCCAAGGTTCAATGTCTTTATCATCTAACACGACGGGAATTATCCTCTAAGTCCAAACCCTGTGAGCCGAAGACACAGATATTTGACGATTTTTTTTATTTCCATGAGCCATAGGGAAGTGCCAATTTGAGAGGCAGGTTCTCCTACAACTTTCATTGGTCATTACAGTTTCCTTGCAACATCCTCGATAGCGTTCTTTTTTCATGTCTTCTGCTGCAAGTCTGTGATGTCTACCTCAAAGGAGGGGCCAGATGATAGCAGCTGTTTTGCCACTCCTTCATTCTGCTTTTAAAGGGCCTGTTAGAGATGGAACAAGGTAAATACAAAAAGGACTGATAGTTTCTCCACTTTTCTTAGCATTCTCACCACTTCCTTCATTTTCTCTTGTTCCATCCTAAATTTTTGGAACAGTGTTGTTTATTTCATCTTGCGAATTTCCAGAAAATCAAATTTGCCGAACACCAGCAGTTTGAATGACAAACAACAGCTTCTCTCAATCCATTAATAGATGACTCCAAACCTGCTAATCTCCTATATGCCTGAGGTACAAAACTCCTTACCTGATAAACGATAATACCCCAGAATGGAAATGCAACCAACCATTTTAAATTTCTCCATAATAATACTTTTTGAAGGGTGTAACATTAAAATACTGGAGCTTGCACATGTAATACTTGAGCAGATGAATAATTTTCAGCCCAGACTTTTTCCAAAATCATTCACTTTTAATTTCCTGGTATGTAAGTAATGGCTGACAAGAATCAATCAAACTAGGCCATCAACCATGAACTTCAAAGTTCTGATGAAATGCTCTGTCCAGTCAGCAGAGATATGTGGTTGCATTCAGTGGCTGTAACAATTTAATATCCATTGCACCAAACAGCTGATTTCATGTTTGTTCTTGGGAAACAATCAAAGGAGGTACAAAATATCCTGTAGCTGGTGCACATCACTATGTTTCAAATGATACTCATTCTGCAGAATTAACTTTAGTCATGAAATGGCCTGAGTTTTCACAGTCAACTCTGGATGTCAATGAAGTAAGCTCCTTACTCACTTATGATCATCACTCCCTTTACTGGCAGTAAAACGATGCTTAATGTTATTTTTGAGAACCGCTAAGCAATTGCCATGTAGCAAAGAAAATGATCAGAATATCAGATATACAATATCTGGGACACATTGCTATTTGATATTTGACAAAACAACTGGTTGGCGGTTTCAGTTACATAATTTCTCAAAGAAATGTAGGAGCAAAATCTGTAACCCGTGCAACATAAAATCCAACATTTGCCTATGGAAAGGGAGTTTTTCAATTCAACTCACCTCCCCATTTTAAGTCTTCAGAATTCCAAAACTTCAAAATTCACAAAAGCCTGAATCACATCTACAATAAACTTTGATACAGCCAGAAATTCACCTTGCCTTCAAGAGAAAGGATGGCACTTCAGCATAGTGCAGCTCCTTCGGCCTAGACAGGTCAGCATCCGATACTTGGTCAACTAACCTTTCAGATATATGAGGACTCTGGTTTGATTCCTGTTTCCCACCCCTTTTTTCATACCATTTTAAAACCTCCCTAATCGTTGTCAGTAAAAGGTAATCATTTTCTTACTACTGGGACCTTTAACTAAAACAGCCAAGAAAGGTTGTGACCAAAAACGCTCTATATATTTACACTGACAACACTTGCGGGATAGCGTAAATTAATAACAGCCTTACTCTGTTATTATGAAACACAATCGCACTGTTGTTGACGTAAATACTATCGTCTTCCAACAAATCTTCTTCCTCTATAACCACAAAATCCATTTACTATGGTTATACAACATACACATCTAGTATACTTTCATACGGCTCATGTGATTCACGCGATCCCCTAAACGCACCCAAACGCTAACGCCTCACGCGACCATCCCGACAACTAGTCATGTGGCATGTAGAAAGTGGTTGTGACACAAGATCAACAGGTGTCCCAGCAGCAGACTACACTTCATACGAGCCGTGGTTTGACAAATGCCTGCACGATGGTGCCACAATCGTGACAGACCCGATAAAAGAAAAATTAAGAATAGGCCGCGCCAAAGTTCAAGCTGTTCATCGCTGGCTTCCCCACGTGGCGGCCCAGGTTCGATCCCGGGTCTGGTCACGTGGGATTTGTGGTGGACAAAGTGGCGCTGGGGCGGGTTTTCTCTGAGTACTTCGGTTTCTACTGCCAATCAGTGGCCGCCGTTCCGAGTGGACCCAGTTGGACTCCACCCCAAACTTAGTGAATTTTAAAAAGATTAATTAAAAAGGAAGAATATGTTTCAGCAAAATACCAGTTAATGTTCAGTCACACATAATCTCTTTCTTCTTCTTTTTCTGTCATACATAATGAAAGACAAAATATTCATAATATATTTAATTCTTCATCCACCAAAAATATGCAGTACACTACAAGACACTGGAACAATTAATATACAAGTTTAAGATATTTCAGTGACAGGATGTGGATTTGGCACAGCAAGCATGGTGGGATTCATGATTGCAAATAATGTTAACTGTGCACCTCCCAAGGTGAAACTATTAACATGTTTTACTTCTTTACTGTTTTTCAATTGAAATTACTTTTGATGACTATTATTATATGGACCACATTAACCATTTCCATACTACAAACAAGATATATAAATCAGCACTCTCACTTTTCACATGTGCACACGTGATGATGGTCAGTTTGGCCATAATATGCAGTTTTTGAATAATAGGAAGAGACAAATATTTTTGAAGTGTGAATTTTAACGCATAAACGAACTTGCACAGTGACGGTGAAAAGTGTGAGTGCTAAATTATAATACAAAATGCAACGGAGTGCTGCAGTATAATAATAAGATATATAACTTTGAAATCAGTCATTCTTTTCTTTATACTTCGGTGTGTAGTAGTCCTGTGAAAATGACTCTGTTCTGCTATGTCTTTATGATTGAAACAAACCTCTTGTAGCTTTCTGAAAACTTACAAAGTCAACATATGAGTACAAAATGACAAAATGCCTCTAAAATAGAAATAATTAATGTTCATACCAGCATATGTAAAATTCATGAAGACACAGAAAATATTTCATACACAAAAACAAAATAAATAACCCTATCAATACATAAGTACATTTTTACATGCTTCCCTTCTGCACATAATCCTTAAATATTTTTTAAAATTTCCTGTGTTATGAAAGGGATACACCAGTTTGAAATTTTGTTTATCTCTGGTATATGACATTATAATCAGATTGGTTTAGAATCTGATGAAGGCTGGGATTTTTTTTCAGTAAAATCCTACCTTTTCTGACAAATATTCATTGAAGCATTCTCTAAACCAAGCAGAATATACATATTTTGAACTGATTTCTTTTCTGTTTATTATATTTTTTTTAAGTGAATAATATATTAAACTGTTTTCATGTGTGTTGGTTTGCCTTCTTTCTGATGCATGTGTAAGTTATGAGTTCCTTATATTAGTCAGAAATGAGAACATTATAAAAACGAGAATAATATTCAAATCAAAGTTACACAGTATGTCTGATGCAATTATTCTTTATCTAATGAAGCTACACTTTACATGTCATCACATCATCAAGAATGTTTGGTCAAACTTTTACAGAAAATTAAAACATGTAATTTCACTGTAAATACAGAAGTTGTAAAGATGCTGTAAGTGAATATGAATAAATGAAACGTATTAATCAACGTCACTTCAAACACTGCAACTTGAATTTTATAAGCAGTATTTCAGCAAGATATTAAAATAATATTACATACAAATATATTGAAAATGGTATGATATAATGAAATCATCCAATGTGTTATTTAAAATATGCCCTTAAAGATTACATTCTTCCTAAAATAATTTGACAATTTTTGTGTATAAACATTATTTGTGCTATAAATTAATTAATATTCTCCAATCCATATTCAGTCTCCATAATGGTGGGAAAAAACCACACAAATCCTCATATGACATGACACCAATAAAACCATTAAATTATCAGAGAATAAGAATATATCTTCTTATAATTACTACAGCATAGTTATGACACAATGTGTTGAAGATTAGTTGTAGTATTTAACACAGATGTACACAAGTGTGGTATACACATTGACTTGTGGCTCAACTTGTATGCCTCCCTCACATAAAAGTTTCAATAAAGTTCATAGACATAAAACAGACTTTAAATTCATCACCATACATTTCTTTTGAATTAGAAGCACGTAAACCATGACGTGTTCCCATAAAGTAATACAATGTCTTGAGAATCACTGGGAAAATTGTATGTAGCTATGTACTTTATTTGTGCAGATAACTTGTTTTAAAACATCATTTGACATGTGGTGATAAAAATGTATTGTTTAAGTTCACAAATATCCAAGTTTATGTGCCTAATGTTCAATATTAATGCTGAACTGGCACTTCAACAGTTTATATTCATGAAATATCCCTTACACTGGTTTCCAGAAACGATTGAATTGGAAATATTCACCCTGTGAGGTAATATTCCACTTATTATGTATAACTGATATTTAAGCTGTTATAAAAGCCAAATTATCAGATTATACATTATACATTAATTTCTTCTGATGTTTCAGTTATGTTTTTATGAAATTTCTTAAGTAAACTGCCCAATATAACAGCTGTATAATCATCAGTCCATAATATATAATGTGACATAATAGCCTGCCAGCTATTGCAGATATTGTGTGGTCTTGATCTAGTCAAAAGAGAAATATCTACAAATGAACTGCCACAAATATCAATGTCCTGGTAGGTTATATGAGTTTCCTTGTAGGTAACTTCCACAATTTTCATTGTAAATTAACATGGGAGTCATGTAACAAGATCATGTATTTATAATGAATCGCTCAGAATTGATTATGTTACTCACTATCACAGTAACCTCAAAGTACTTCAGTTAACTGCGTTAATTTACACCAGACTTTATACATATAACATTTGGTTTTAAATATAAGTCTTGGAGCAGATTGTGATCAAAGTTTAGGCCATTTTTTAGTCATTTCCATCTGTATTCAGTTAACACAGGTTAGTGACTGAACTATGTAGTAAAGCAAGTTTACATAGAGATTATATGCTCTTAATCGACTGACATACTTCGACACTTTTATCATGTCTCCTCGTTGGCTAATATAGTGGTTGTGGAATGTCGTGGGTTAGAAGTCAACATTGTTTGGTTACTTCACATCAGATATAGGCTATTATGAATATTTAAGTTTTTGTAATGATTAGGAGGGATTTGTTTAAAATTTCTTAATCAATTTCAGATGGACATAAACAAGTAGTATAATAGTGGGTCACATCGAAACACACAGTGAACTGTGTTAGGAGTGTGTTTTGATGATTATGTACAAAATAGAAATATATATATATATATATATTTCACCATGGTATCACTACTTTCAAAGGAAATATACTGGTTCATTGCTGGCAAATTAATTCGTACAGCCTATGTCCTGACAAAATTCTTGTGAATGACCAAACTGACTAGCAGTTGCTGCAGTCATATGCAAAAGAATGTCACAAGTATTATCTCTTGATTTAACTAAGACTGCCTCGGTATGTGCAGAGGAGAATCCAGTGTACATTCTGCACTACTGATTGCGAAACCTAATTCATAATAGTCTGAAAGGAATATTCAGGTATTGTAGCTTATGCTTCTAGATCTGTCTGTACAGTAACAGGTGTTGTTTTGCCATCAGTGGGACAGAACTCCATTATTACCAGATGGGCTTAACACTCGTTCTCATGACTCTGTAATACATATTCTTATTAACACAGTGCTTGACATATGTTTAAAGGATGGCCCTTTTCTAATGGTAATGCTATGTCACTAACTGTTCAAATTTAATTTTATGTATCAAAAGAGTCTTCTGAAATGCACTCTAATTTGAATCATATTGCAACATATTAGCCAGTTGTGTCTGGTTCTCTGGGTAGCTGTGCAGATGGGAGAGTCTGAGAAGTCCATTATTGTGAGCAGTGGCTGTACAGCTCTTGAGAACTGCAAAGTTTTATCATGGAAGATATGCACGGTAGTTACTTCTGCTCCTCTGTGCAATTACCCAGACAGAAGAGTCTGCACTACCTTTTGCAGTGAGCTGTGATTTGTGGCTGTTAGATCTGATCCTCATGGCAGCTGTCCAGGCGGGAGAGTCTGCGATGTCCATTATAGTGAGCAGTGGGTTGACAGCCCTTGCGGGACACTGATCCTAACAGTGCAGGAGATGCACAGTTATTGGCAAGGTGCTGGGTTTTGCGGCGGGTGCTCACATATGTGGTGCAGGTATTGACTCGATGCAACACTGACGACTCAGTTGGATCCATTCCTGAAACAGGGTCACTAAGTCACTTACTCACACGCACTCACACACACACACACACACAACACAGTATATGTAATGTATTCTTTAAAGTTAATTCTACTTTTGGGTCTTTGCACCGTGGGTAGTTCTTTCAACATTTCAGATGTATGTGCTGCCTGCATAGGGTAAATAGGGTTGTTCCTGAAGGTAGACAATATGTATTATTTTTTTTATTGCTAGTGGGGTGGGACTAAGTACCTTGTACTGCAGCCACTTCTGGCCTATTGTACCAGCCCCAGATGATAGGTGAGGGTGATTGTGGAGCAATTGGTGGAATGAAGATTGGCAGGGGAAACCGAAGTACTCAGAGAAATCCTGCCCCAGTGCCACTATGTCCACCACAAATCCCACTTGACCAGACCCAGGATCGAACCCGGGCCGCCGCGGTGAGAAGCCAGCGACTAACTGCTTGAGCTATAGACAATATGTACATACACATCCAAGAACTGGGGAGCACTGTCGACATCCACAAGGTGCAAAGACTACTGAAGACTACAGGTAATCTTTTGCATGTACAATCTCCTGGAAACGCACGAGCCTCTGAAGAATATGTCAATCGCGTTAGAGAGGCATTCCAGCGAAGTCCGCGCAAATCAGTTCATGCTGCTAGCTTCCAGTTATAAATTCCACGTTCAACGGTGCACGATGTACTATACAAAAGGCTCCGCCTAAGATCGTACAGGATTCAAATGATTCATGCACTAAAACCGAGGGATCAAGTAGCACGCACAAATTTCGTTTGGACACGCTAGAAAGAACTGACGCGTCACACGATTTCCTCCGCCAAGTCTGCTTCTCGGACTAAGGCGGCTTTCCATGTCAGTGGAGATGTAAACAGTTACAACTGCAGGATTTGGGGCAGTGAAAATCCACATGTCACAAGTGAGTTGGAGAGAGGCAGCCCAAAAGTAAACGTGTGGGCAGGCTTAATGCACGACAAGTTGATTGAACTGTTATTCTCTTCAGAAAAGACTGTGACAGGACGTTCGTACGTGGACATGCTGGAGCTGTATGTGCTGCCCCAATTACCACCTAAAACTATCCTCAAACGAGATGGGGCGCCACCATATTAGGAATCACCTGGACAGAGAGATGGCTGGGAGACGGATAGGTAGAAGTGGACCAATCGCCTGGCCTTCTGTGAGCCGATTGTCTAGAAAATGTGGGAATCTCAACATTTCACAACCCTATGGGCCTCCATGGCCTGTTACAGGGATATCTTTACTTTTACTTTTAATAATAATAATAATAATAATAATAATAATAATAATAATTTGTGAAACTCTTTATGTCAAAAAGTCCCTCAAGCGCTATAATGAGCAAGAGTAGCTAAATGGATCGCAATTTTGTGGAAACCGCAGCTACAAATAGGAATTGTCAATTTTTCTCAATGAACTTTAAAACGGCATTGCTTAAGTTATTAATTACTTGATCATTGTAATTGTGATGCTCTGTGTTCTGTAATATGAAGGATCTACGATAAAATTATTATTTACTATAATTAATATATGTGGTGATGGCCGTGTGGGGCCGAAACATATCGTGAACAAATAAGTTAATATAAAGTGACATTGAAGAACATTCACACGACTGGGAACTAAAGAGAGTTTCAGAAAGAGACAGACTGTTGAAATATAGAATTAACCAGTGATTTCAACAGGATACCGAAATATTATATTATGTAACATCTGAGCGTTAAAATTTTAATTTATTTTGACGATAAGGAAAATGCATAAATTTCCGAATTCTCACAGATCGCTTACCACGTTTTTTAATAACATTTCCGGTATGTTTAAGTTGCTAATAATCTCAGGAGCCGAGAGAGAGTAGCCGGTATAGCAATTGGCTACGGGCTGGACGATCGAGGAGTCGGTGTTAGATTCCCGATAAGGTCAAGAATTTTCACTTCTCAAATTGTGCAGACTGGCTCTGGGCTCCACACAACCTCCTATACAATGGGTACCGGGGGGCTCTTTCCCGAGGGGAAAAGCGGCCGGGCTGTGAATCTGACAACTCATTTCCAACTAGTGCCGAGGTCTAGAAAATGTGGATCTATACATCCATTCCCCCGCACGTCTTCATGGCGTAGCTTTTAATTAAGCACAGGGACAACTTTACTTATAATCTCAGAACTATGATACTATGCACATTACATTTAAATTCTCAACTTATCACTGAACTAGCCTACTTTAGCGTGAGCTACATTACCCGTAAGACCCATGCCTGTCACAGATGAAGTGTTGCAGTGGCGGTGCCTCGCGGTGAGTGGAACAAGTCTTCTGAGACATGGCACACGAACAAAAGCCGTACAGAACCCCGCTCTGAAGCGAGTGTTCATCCAGCAATAAATAACTGGGTTGTAGCAGGAATGTGACATCGCGAGCCAGTGGAACGCGAACCACAAGTAGGAAGTTCCTGGCCACTCAGCGAGACGTCTGTTCTTCTCCAGTGCTACCTACAGGAACAGAAACCAAACGATCTTCACGTGAATATATGATTACATGCGATATGCATGGTTAAATATCGTTAAGTGACTAATAATAATGGGTTCTTGATTCGATGATTGCATTTATTGGCACTTTTTTACAGTTAGAGTTAATTATAACAGCTTATACATTGAAATCTCTATGAATGACGTCTGTCTGAGGTATCTCTAGCGACTGAAATCTCCTGGACTGAACTTCTATGCGGACAGAATATCGATCACCAAGTCGAACAGTTAATGGTCCTTCTCTTCGCGCCCTCGATGACGTAGCCTCGGTTGTAGTTGTGAACGCCACGTGATCTTAGAACCAGGTCGAAGTACCGAGAATGGCTTGAGGGCAGGAAAAGTGAAAAATACCCAGAGCGTGAGCATGAGATTCTCTTCAGAGCCTAACGCGCCTTGCTCCGACGAGAGAGAGTTTACTGAAGAAGTCCCTGGATCACACTGTTCAACTTGATTTATTGTCCACCACACTACACGATTTTATAAATTAGTCACTTTCGGTCGCGGATAAAACTGTTCTGGTACACAACTGTACACAACGCGCAATAGTTACAATGAATATTATTTATACCAAATACTAAATGTTACTGGTACACTCATTTTGAATACTACCACTATTACTGTTACTATTTTATGTGCGTCATCCAAATTCAGTCCTTTAAATACTCTTGGATGACGTAATATTCCGGAACATTCCGCATAAAGATCTTTCTTGAAGCTTCCACACTGTTCTACAGATTCAGAATGCTCTGGAAGTTTCTTTAATTGGGCTGGTGGGAGGAATAGGCGATTCACACGCCGCACCGGCTATCAAAGATGGTTCTAGTAGCTCTTATCTAAACATTCCTAGCCACAAATCCTCAGAAGAGTTACAGCAAAAGTGGGTATAAGTCATTTTTAGTACAAGATTGGTATTAAGTCCTGATTATTAATATTTAAGAATTATGCCCGTAGGTAATGATCGGTTACAGTCTGTTGTCATGGGAAACTGTTTTCTGCGACACGCTACCTAGCAAAGACACTTTCGTTGCTATTCGTTGCAGCGGGAACGTGGTTGCCGCGCCGAGCAATGAACGTCTGCTCAGCTCCACTATTCCGGCTTTCAGTCGTCATGTCACAATATGAAGAACGTTAACCAATAATGCTGGGAGAGGGAACGCCCTTGATTCGCATTCGAGAGTTGATTGGTTCGAATATTGACTGGAACAAAGACCATTCTGTTTTCGTGTTTTGCTCTTTCCTTCCGGCTAAATTCCGGGAGGGTTTCATTATTAGGTCATGGCCACGCTTCTTAAAATCCTCTCCAATTCCAGTACATCACGTAGTACAGACTAGTTAACGAAAACGTCCTAAGACAACCCGCACACTCGTCATGAAAACTGTGAAGTCCTTGAGGTTCCGCGAATACTTTCTTCATGGGTTTGTGCTGTGGCTGAAATTACGACGCCGTCAGAGCGTCGGACTGCACGAATGTTGCAATGACTGAGAGACTGGAAGGTACTCGTAAAAAAGCGGTAGTGTTGTAATCGATGTGTTATCCTGCCATTTCCTTGGAAGGATTCAGGAAGATCACGATAATTTCAGTCAGGACAACCGATGTACGGGTCAAAATTCGAACCGAACACATCCCGAATACAAGTCCAGGGCGTTCCCANCGTTCCCACCGCCATGTTGGTCTTTGATAAAGACGATCCACATTCTTTGCTAATTGATGCCACTAATAACGGATAATCTTCAGATTAAAATAATTTACTTTAGATCGCCTCTGTGGTCTAGTGGTCAGAGTTCCTGCCTACAGATCCAGAGATCCCAGGTTCGATTCCCGGACCTACCAGATTTTCTGAGTAGTCGTCTTGAACGGGGTGATGATAATTAAAGAGCTATTTCAAAGAAATAGCGGCTCCGGTCTAGAAACCGAAATTAATCGCCGTGGGAATTCGTTGCGCTGACTACGCGACACCCTCTATCCCCTAAAAGTTGTCACTAACTTCGCCGACAAGCGACGATCGCTCGGTCGGTATAGTTCACTTGCGGGCTACAGGCCACGGAGTTTTTTGTTTTACACTCAATATTTCTTTAAACACAGAAACAATAAATAAATTTTGCGTTTCTTATGTCTTTTACGTGTCATTCTTACCGTTGTACACAGAACATTATAAAAACCGGGTATACGTAAGTACATACTTGTATACTAAATAACCTACGAACGGGTTTAATAACGACACACTCAAAAGCATCAGCTCGTAATAATAAAAAATTCTTACAGATCACTCCAAGTAAAAAACTTGTTGGGCGATACATATAAAGGCGCGTCCACATTACTCGTGCTCGTGTGACTTGCTATGCTCGCGAGTAATAAGGACGATATGACAAGTCACGAGACAAGCAATTTTAAAATTTTTAATTTAAAAATTGTAGTTACTATAGGATTCTGACGATCGTGTATAACACACAGAGATATTGGGTTTTCGGACTTTATCCATTGTCCTGATTTTTAAAAACTGTAGCCAATAAATTAAAATACGACTACAGCCTATACACACTACGAGTAAATATACGGATCCTCACGCGCCGAAGCCTGGCGAGCAACTGAAGCAGTGTGGACGAAGGTTTACGGGCACAAGTAAAAGCCACATGAGTCTCCTGAGGAGCACAAGCCTGGCGAGCACGAGTAATGTGCACGCGCCTTAATAATGAGCGTAGGCTCCATTATTATATGTGAGCAAGGTCAAAACCACACGACCCAACTTATGTGAGAAGATCCCGATGGACAGGCGCCCCACACTATAGTCTCTTCTACCACCAGAAAATCATGTCAACACGTAGCTGTCACAAAGTTTTAAAGAGATTTATTACAAAATATCTTATCTCTGTACAATTTTAATTTTAGTTTTTAATTTTAAATTTTACTGCCTAAGTATTTAAGTTTTAACTGAAAATTCAATTTATNATTAAATTTATGCATTTAAAACTCACAAGAACACAATTTGGATCCATACTTAAGTTAGATGTAATTCAAGAAATAGGACTTGTATCACTGTACGCATGTTGATGGCCCAATACAAGGGCCGAAACATGTAGTGTCAACGGCAAAATAAAACAAATATTGATACAATAGTGTCTATTTTGGTTTTCAGGGCTACTGTTGTGTAGACTGCCCCATCACGCAACAGAATGCGTACTATTAGGCCTAAGACTCTGTATATTCAGTATGATTCTATCACACGAATTCTTCTTAAATCGAATGTTCTCTTCTTACTTTTAGTGCTGGAACTGAGAGAGGCAGAATGAGTTCGTTAAACTACCAGGCTACACGGAGTCACATCCCAAAGATAGTATTCTTCAGAATTAAGTTGAACTGAGTTTTTGAGAACTTTAAAATACAATTTTGCGAGAAGAGATATCGTTTGTTTGTCGGCACGCAATAAACACTAAGTGTTTGTGTCTCTTACAGTTTGAGTTCTGCTGCAACTGTTCCCAGCAAGCGCATGGAAAATAGGCAGGAGAAGAAGAGGGTGGAGAATGATAAGATAAACATGGGGATAAGAAGAAGTAAAAGGGAAAAATGAGATAAGAATAGAACGAGGAGATGAACAAGAGGACAAGAGAAAGGAGAAATAAGGATGTGAATAAGAACAGGAGAACAAGAGGAAGTGGATGTTGGACAAGAACAACAGAATAAGAGAAAGGCGATAAACAAGATTTGCAGAGAGAACAGATGGCAAGGAAAGAGAGTAACGGCAGGAGGCAATCTCAGCATTTTGACTCTCCCGGAGCTAGTACAGTGATATAATTAAAAACGTTATTACAAAATTTATTTCTGCGAAAGACGGCCATTATGGACGTAAATGACAAAACCATAAATTTCTGTTAGGTTTATATGGCCTACATGTCTCCGACATCCGCAAAATGAACAGGGTGTCCAGAAAAATGAGTTCTGAAACCTGTTCGTATTATGTTTTTTTTTCATAGAAAAACTTCCTATTCACGTATACACGAAATTACTTCTGTCTTCTGTTTTTCTGACTGGTTTAAGAATTCCAACAATAAATTCATTAAGTTACTTCTAATACTTTATTAGAGCAGCCATAATCACAACGCAGTCGGAAGGCTTGCCATAACAACACAAACCATGAAGTTGAAAGAGCCGTAAAAATTGACTATAAAGTTTTAACGCGCACGCAGGTCTATGAAATTAAATTTCAAGATATAGTACTTCCTCGCATATATTTCTCTTAACGCGTTGTGATACCCAGGACAGGAGTTACCTTCTCTCGCTAGTTCATATTCCGTATGCCGGTCGAGTGGCCCTCAACGCTGTAATTTAGGTCATAGGCTCTTCAGTTTCCGTTTCATAGGTTTCCTTTTCCGTACGAGATGTTCAAAGTAATAAGAATTACGTGGATTTACAATATCCCGCTGCTGAATGCCTTTCTTACAGAATAGCAACCGCTCAACTTTACAGCAAACAATCGCTACAGAGTGATAATATTGTCACGTGTGTGGGGGGGGGTGGGTGGTACGCGTGACGAAATGACGGTTTCTAGTTCGGATGCTTGGATTTATTAACAGCTTGGTTACGCACTCTCTTAGTTACACACTAATACAGCGCTATCGCTGATTTACATGCACTTTTTTTATTGCTAGTGGGGTGGGACTAAGTCCCTTGTACTGCGGCCACTTCTGGCCTATTGTACCAGCCCCAGATGATAGGTGAGGGTGATTGTGGAGCAATTGGTGGAATGACGATTGGCAGGGGAAACCTAAGTACTCGGAGAAAGACTGCCCCAGCGCCACTTTGTCCACCACAAATCCCACTTGACCAGACCCCGGGATCGAACCCTGGACGCCGCGGTGGGAAGCCAGCGACTAACCGCTTGAGCTATGGCGCGGCCATTTTAAGAGCTTGGTTACACACTCTCTCTTATTTACACTCTAATACAGAGCTATCCTTGATTTACATGCACTTCATAATCCACTGTTACAAGCACACTAGTCCTCTCTTGGTAATGGAGCTGAACACAGAAACTAGCGCTTCAAATCACTCAAAGTATTACACATGAATAAAGTCTTCCAATCACAGGCCAAGTCTTCACACGACGAACTTCTCGTGGCTGTCACTTAAACACTTACCCCATAATCTTACTTGGTCAAAGTGAAAGTCACATTGCGACCGAGCGTCAGTCAGTCAGCAAGTCTTGGTGTCCGAGCTCCATCTGGGGCTCATGACCAGATATTTCTTACTGTTTGATAGTTACGGTCTCGTTCTTCTGGGAGGCCCTCTCTGGCGAGGGAGGGAGCCATCTTGCTGGGCGATAAGGAAAAAAAAGAAGGGGAACAGCATTTTCCAGGTGTGTTGATAATATCCTTCTGAAGATGGTCGTTTTGATCAAAACATATAAAGGATGAAAAATTACAAACAAAACTTTTATCAATCACACTGTACGGTGGTTAAATTCTTATATTCAAGGAAGGACGTAGTAAAGAGAAGGAAAAGTAAAAAAATAGATACAGAAAGAACGAAAACAAGAAATGGAAGTGAAGGAAAACATGCAGAAACAAGGTTTAAAGACAAGGAAATACAACTTACTTACTCAGCTGAGCCTGGTCGTTTTTGAGAAGCCACAGGTCGCTCAGTAGTTCAAGAATTTCTCAGAATTTATTGAACCCGAAGGCATATCGCCATGTTCAAAGAGCCCTCATCTGGTCCCTGTTCCAAGTGACATGAATCCAGTACATACACACACCAAGTTCAGTGGGTCCGTTTTAACCACGTCATGGCGCGGCCTCGGGTTGCGGATGGAGGAACGCTTCTCATGATGTGGAGGGTAGCTGCGAGTATATTAAATAAACACGCTCTGGCAGCCGAAATGGGGTGGTCCTACATTCTGAGGGTTGGATGTCGGACAAATCTTCACAATAAATAACAGCTTGTAACAAAATGTTACACAGATCCCTGGGGAAAAATACAGAAGAGAGAAAAACAACTTACGCATTAACGAAGTTCCTGTCTTCCTGTCTGTAAAGGTTCGGCCACACAGAGCGCTACGCTATGTTCGCTACGTATGCTACGTACGCTGTGTACACTCTGCGACGCAGCTAACATAGGGAATAGCGTACGTACCGTACGGATGTCTCTGAGGCCAGTCACATTGGCAATAAAAGGAGATATTTTTTCTGTTCGTATAGCGAACATAGCGTACGTAGCGCTCTGTGTGGCTGAACCTTAAGTGGCTATTACTCACCATTAGTATGTTGAATGGCAACCAGCACGCTGTGAAAATTATCACCACGATCACCATCATTTTGATCATCTGAAAGAAAGAAAAACATCACAGTAATTCTTCCAATTAGTTTCTTTCTTTCAGGTTTTCTTAACGAAACTTTGCACGCATTTCTCTCTCTCCCCAACCCGGACTGTATATTTCACCCGTTTCATTTCCCTTGATTTGTTCCTCCTAATAACAGATATATTATTAATGACGCCAAATATTGTGTATCTCTATGTTAGAAACAGTCAGCATTCATGTTCCTACTTGGAACACATTTCACCTCACTATGTTCAGCTGCTCCTCCGGCCGCTGCCCGTCAGATAAATGTGTTTCTGCTGCCAATTCAGTCTGTAAACCTACAGATATTTTTAGCAACTAAAGTTTAAATGTAAATAACGTAAACTGATTAAAATTTTTTGCCTTTGTTTGTTTTCCCTTTGAGTTTCTCTTACTGTTGGCCGCGCCATAGCTCAAGCGGTTAGTCGCTCGCTTCCCACCGCGGCGGCCAGCGATTTGTGGTGGATAAAGTGGTGCTGGGGCGGGTTTTCTCCGAGTACTTCGGTTTCCCCTGCCAGCCCTCATTCCACCAAATTCTTCATCATCATAATCACCCGGGACAGGCTACAATAGACCAATCAGTGGCCGCCGTGCCGAGTGGACCCAGTTGGACTCCACCCCCCACTAAGCGATTTTTTTGTTTTACTGTTGTTTTTTATTCGTTCTGATTCTGTAATTGTCCAGAGGATGTTGAGCTCGGCGCGTAAATAAATAATAATTTGAATTGAATGTCTGTTACTATCACAATTAATCAGTGGCCATTAGGCTGCTGAACCCAAAAGTTAATGAAAAAGAATTAAACAGAAATGTATAATCAAGAGGACGTCTGATAATTTTGGAATACAGACCGGTTGCTAGGCAGCGGTCAGCGTGCAGTGTACTGGCCGGAAAGGGGTGTTTTGTGGGGCGCCCTCTCTGACGAGAGGACGAGTCTCTTTTTTGTACATGCTACTGGCCCTTGCCAGCGTAGTCTTTCCCTTGGGACTCGCGACCATATTTTACTGTCTCAGATTTGAGACTTCCATTTCCGTCGCCTTCTACGACTCGCAGGGTCACGGTGGAGGTATCAGGCCCCGCCTCCTCACGGGTTTAATTGTATCCTTTGCGGAGACGGGGATGAATACCTCCACCGAAGCCCTGCGAGTCACAGGAGGCGATGAAAAGGGTAGTCTCGAAACTGAGAGAGTAAAATAAAATTACTAGTACCACGGGACTCGCACCCAAAAAGTGGGACATTCGCCAACCGGTAAGGACGTAGCAGAGACATTGTTAGGATCCGTTACCAGGAAACGACTAGTGAAGAAATATAAGACTTTATGTTTTCTGCAGTGCATTCACTGTGAACTGTTAGAATCTAGTATCTGAGGCACAGGGATACTTCGGCAACCCAGAGTAAGGGGAACGTCCGCTGTTGGAAGCCGTTGTTAGGCAACGACTGGTGAAGATACAGCATACTGAGAATACTAGTGTGTGTAACAGTAAACTGTAAAGTGTAGTCAAGAGTCTTGTGTATAATTGGGCAATAAATCGAGTCACCAATCAAAACCCCGTCTATAATCACGCGACAGTATTATTATACGGCCCCAATTCTAGCAAGGTCTCTGATCTCTTCATTTTTCTTTTTTAGAACCTTTCGCTTTACATTGTTACGTATCCGTGTTCCTTTCAATATCTCTGAGCTTCCGTTTTTTCGTCTTGAATTTGGCAACGACTCCAATATCTGATCAGAAAATCTTATTGAAACCGCCTTCTGCCAAATCGTGTTATCAAAAATATGTTCTTGAATTTCATCTGAAATTGCTTCCATCCAACCTTTCACTCCCTAATGCACTTATTCGTTTTCACTATCCTTTCACGCCGCCATTGGTAATCTATTTTAAACGATAGCAAAATGGTGACTTTTCTTTCAGAGTGAGGGGGAAACACAATCAGTTCTTCGAAGACTGTGGTGTGACAGGAAGCATCTCTTCTAGTTCCTTTATTCTTCGACTGCAATAACCATGTTTCTTCTTTGAAGTACTAGAGGCGACATAGCCAGGGGCAGCTGACACACAATGGAATTCTGATATTCAGAAGAAAAAGTAGATCGGTGAAAACTGCGCTAACTGTCATAGAAGCTGTGTAACAATTGACTGAGATTTAGAGAGGACAACCAAATGCTACTCATTAAGCATTCATTTAACGCCATTTATCCACAGCTTCGCCAACAAATTTAAATAAAACGAACTTTAAACGCACTCGCCTTTAGGATATTACAATTTTGGGTTCCTAAAGATAAAAGAGCACAGATTTTGAAAAAATTTCGTACTAATAGTATATGTTCTGTAACATATCACTATAAAAATTCCAGATGACACTTTCTTTATCAATTACTGAACCTCACACCAAATTAAATCAATCATTCTTTTTTTTTTTTGCGCTACAGCCCTAATTTGGGACTAGGCCTACCTCCATGAAACTTTCCGTTCACTTCGGCTTTACTAGATCTTAGACATTCGGTAGGACTCCTTGGGCGGGTGAGCAGCTCGTCGCAAGGCCTCTACCTGTATACAAACACAGAAAAACGCACACAAACATCCATGCCCTGAGTGGGATTTGAACCCACGATCCCGGCTTCCGAGCGAGCGAAGACAGTGCATGCCTTAGACCGCTCGGCTACCGTGACCGGCTAAATCACTCATTCACTGTTTTCTATTTTACATTTTACTGAAATCGCCTCAGCGGAATTTGAAAAAATTTATTCTAATACAAAATTCCAGATACTGGAGGCGTTGTTTTCTACGTTGTCCGTGCTGTATCAGAGGGAAATAGTGGAGCAGCAAATTCCATGACTTCCTGTTTACAAACATTCTAAATAATTGTTTGAATCTGCCGTTTCGGGTTTGAGAGCTCAGGTTTATTAAAACCAGAAGGTTTCTGGAATTGGTTCTAACCTAGCATTCAGAAGAACAGGATTCTTAAGACCATAGGTCCGTGGTTTGAGAGCAGCTCTACCTTAGGTGACCAACAGAGTAGGTATTCTTTCGTATGTTGTTCACTTGAAAATGGATACAGAACTAATATCCGAAACATAGGCTTTTTAATAAGACAATTCACGGCACGTAACAAGTATTGAGAGAGAAGAGAAATGAGTGCTAAATTCAGGTGGAAAACCCTGTAGTGACCACTGGGAAGACCTGAATATGAGAGGATAATATTAAAATGGACCTAAACGAAATAGGGTGGGAGTATGAGGATTGGATTAATTTGGTTTAACATGGGGAAAATGAGTCGGGATTGCTCAGTCGGTATAGCGACTGGCAACGGGGTGGACGACCGAGGTGTCAGAGTGAGTCAAGAATTTTCTCTCCTCCACGACGTCCAGCCCGGCGGTGGGGCCCACACAGCCTCCCCTTCAAAGGGTACTGCAGGCTCTTTCCCCTGGGTAAAGCGGGAGAAGCATGAAGCTGACCACTCACTTCCAGTCAGTGTCGATGTCAAGAATACCTGAATCTGTACATCCACTCCCAAACACACCTTCATGGCATTGTGCTTAATTAGTTAAGCACACGGAAAACTTTAGGCATAAATATGGGCAAAAGTGGATGGATCTCGTAACCATAATAAAAATGGGCTTGTGTCAAACCGCTGTAGATTCGGGACCAATCATCCCAATTAACCCATCAGAAGCCAGACGCCACAAATATTTACGGCCTGCGATCTTGTGACATGACCAGAGATCAACAGGAGAGCTCCGAAGTGATAGCCTGTTGGTCCTGTAAAGGAACACGTAATGCCACAACGTGGAAAACTTAGAATTTTGACACCTGCTGCTTGACGTTTTTTTCTAGTTCCACTCCTGAACGCCTTTATTGACTAAGGGACGGTCTTGAACGAATTCCACATTTGGCTCTGATGGGTGGAAGGCATATGCAAGTATAAAGCTTTGATCTACATATTCGGTGGTTTCCAGTTTCTTTGTAGTTGATAAAAGCAATAAAATGAAGCCCTTTGACAATTTCGAACTTTAGAAAGAAGAGAGAGACACACAATTCAATATGCAGCACAACATTTATAGGGCCATAAAGTGAGGCGGTTTTCGCTTCGGTTGTGTAGGCTTCTTGAGTTCGGGAATTTCGTTTTTCTTGTTATTTCCTTTTCTAAATCACGCTCTGCTGTGAAGCAAGTTTGTCGGATCTACTTCTTGGAAAGTTATTTCATATGTTCCACTATATTTTTTTTTTTCCTAAGCGCCATGTTTCGAGCTTTCTGAATCACCAATCGATACGAATTCTTCCTGTCTGTGTACGAAGAATGACTCAAATAAATTTAATAGGAAAATTTGCAGGATCTGAGGTCCTCACTATATATTATCGTTTAGTTCGTTGAAATTCCACCAATGTTTCGGAGGAACATGTCGCATCCATCTTCATGTTTAGAATAATAATCCACATAAAAAACCAGTGTAAAAGCATGGAAATGTTTCCTTCCTGTTTCATGTATAATCCGAAATTTAGACAAGCCACTAGCTTTGCTTGCCACTCACTTTCAAGCTGGTTTCTGGCTTATTCTTCCGCAATGAAGATGGAGGCAGTATGTTACTCCGAAACGCATGTGAATTTCTACTGCCCAGAAGATGATACTCATCAATTATTGAAGTCTTCATTTAGTAAGAAAAGTATAGTGTGTAGGATTTTAGGTTTTCACCGCGGTGGTTGTGAATAGTACTCTGTTTTGGGATAGAACTCGGTGTAGTTCTTTGAAAATCTCCAGGTTTTCCTGTTTTGGTAATATGTTTGAATGTAGCAATTGTAATTCAAAGTTAACTTCTTTATTAAGTGCTGCTTCAACAGGCAGACATACGCAGCCGGACGTAGTGACTGTCACTGGCTTACACCAAACAAGATTCTTTTATTCTGTAAATCGATTTATATCGATCCTGTAGTTAAAAACAGAAGAACGCTGTACTGAAACCGCAATTATAGCGAAAGGCATGTTCTAGCTGCTTCTA